CGCTCTACGACTAATATATTGGGTCCACATTTATCCCTTTAGTAGCCGTTCTACGACTAATATATTTGGTCCACATTTATACCTTTAGTAGCCGCTCTACGACTAATATATTTGGTCCACATTTATACCTTTAGTAGCCGCTATACGACTAATATATGTGGTCCACATTTATACCTTTATTAGCCGCTCTACGACTGGTATAAGTTTCTTTTCTTCTCTATTATTATTATTTTTTCTTCTGTGGATCGCGATTTTGATGTATTTATGATTAGATTTATTATAATAGATTGATTTCATATATATACAGGTTCTACTGCTCAAGACTACTTGGTTTGTTTGTTTGTTTTTGAATTTCGCGCAAAGCTACACGAGGGCTATCTGCGCTAGCCGTCCCTAATTTAGCAGTGTAAGACTAGAGGGAAGGCAGCTAGTCATCACCACCCACCGCCAACTCTTGGGCTACTCTTAAGACTACTTGGAGTGTTAAACAAAACTTCTATCTTTATCATGGCATCCATTGTGGTTACTTTCTTATGTACATAGCATAATAAACTCTTGGATGTCCAGATTAAACATTGTTACTATAACAATGATGAAATTGAATTTTACATCCAAATTAAAAACAAAAACAAAACACGCTGGAATAAACGAACCATATCAAGCATCCACTCAGATTTTATATTTTTGTAATTCCATTTAGAGCAGTTATCTTCTCACAACTTGATATGCGGTGGAGTTGGCCTCAAATCATTTTATGGTTATTGTCTTTCTAGATATGAAGCTTGCGAACAGAATGTATTCCTACTTCTATGTAGGTCTTACTTCTAGTGATGCTTCTTCTTATTGGGATATATCTTACCTTTTCCATGCTTTCTGTTTTGATCTTATTTTCTGAAAACTTTTACATAGATATAATGTCTACGGTCAAGCTTTTCAACACGAGAAATAAAATTGTCTTACTTTAAGTTCCAATAAATATTTTTGCGCATAACTTGGTACTCAGTTTTTAGAACTTTTTCATATTTTTTTAGGAGAACCTTATGAGTTTATAATCGCACGAGCAGAAGCTAGTCTCCAAATTCTTACAAGGATGGCTGTCAATGTTGAATGCTTAGAAATTATGCTGAGTGGCTTGCAGAGTCACCTAGCGGGCTTTATTGAAATATCCGAAAGAGTAGATGGAGCCCGACTGCATAAACCTTTGGCAGAACTACTTACACAAGTGCTTTTGGTAAGTTGTTTAATTGAAATTTTACCCCAAGTATATTAGGTGAATTAAGCAGTTGAGCAAGTGTTATTTACAATCACAATACTTTACTATGCAATTTCGTTGCTATGTGAAACGATTTTAATAAAACTTGTATTCGTAGTCATTAAATGAATGCTTTTCGTAAAAACATGTGATCGAGATTCTTAACCAAGTATTTATAGAAAATCTCTGACTGAGCTTCCTAATCAAATGCTTCGATAAAGCTTATGATTAAGATGTTACTGGTAAAAAAAAAACACGTAGCTAAATTGTTAGTCTATTGCTTTGTAACTGAGCTGATGAACAAGTGTTTTTGTAAAATATTGAATCAGGCAAATAATCTATTATTGAACTTCAAATGGAAATATTAATTTTTGTCGTCAAATGTTATCAAGAGTATATAGTTAGTTATATTTTTTTGCGAATAAAATAAATAACATTATAACATTTGAAAAATAAAATCCTAAGTACGTCCTTAATTCATTGGAAGCTAGAAACGATCGAAAAATTACGTCCGAATACATTAGTTCCATCATACATAAATATACAATTCAATGAATGTTGAACAACCATGCGTTTTCAAAAGTAGATTATTTTGCCTTTAATTTTATACATAAACTTAATTAATATAAAAAAGCATGCGAAAAGCAGTTATGTGAATAAGATGGTAACTATACTTATGATCAATATCTGTTAATGTAAGAGCAGTAGCTTTTCTTCGATAAATTAAATATTTCATCGACAGCTGAAAAACACAACCAGTTACAAACGACCACTTAACTTGAGATACACAACAAACATTATAAAGCAATAAAACCACAAATATTAAAATAGAGTATTGATGTTAGTCTAGCAAAACAATAATATGGTTAAGATAGATTATTAAAAGAGTTGCTAATTTTTTTACCTGTTGTATTTCTAGACATCTCTGTGCGAATACGAAGAAGGTCTGCAAAGAAAACATTTATGTAAATCAAGAATACGAGAAGATTTCAAAAAACGTCTCTGTCTGCTGATGAAAATGACAGTAAGCTGTTTGCGTGGGGGTCAGTCCTTACAATATACAGGTCTGCTGACCATGAATAAAGTAGTAGATGTTTGCATAGTTCAAGGTGTGGCCTTACGTCGAGTGGACATTGAGGATGTTAATAAACATACATTAGATTGTCATTCGCTAAACATTAACAAAAATCAGTGCCAATTTTCTGCAGGGAATAGGTCAAGTGCTCCTGTGAACTGTGTTATTAATGCCAACAATAAGTCGTCTAACTCGCAAGACAGGGGAATGTATGGTCAGAAAGACGTGTCTAGTTCAGCACGTTGGTGGTCTTACACCAAAAAATCAACGACGAAAATTACTCCACTGATGCTGCACACAGATCCTGATAATGAGTTTGTTTTCCGAACACAAGGCGTTCTTGATGTTTTGTCTGAAGAAGGCGTTGATCTCTTACTGAACGTTCTGAATAATGCTATTACGTTACATAAAAGAGTTGTAGGTACTCGCCAACACTGCACACCAAGTCAAAGGTAAGTGAACTCTTATTCAATGTGTTGTAGATAAATGCGTTCATCTTTTTCCATCTGTAACATGTATACTTTCCATTTTTACTTGGAACATTCTGACTGTTTGTTTGTTTTTAATATTCACGAAAAACTACTGTAGGCTGTCTGCGCTAGCCATCCTGATTTTGAAGTGATAGGCTAGAGGGAAAGCAGTCAGTCAATACCACCAACTTCAAACTCTTGAGCTACCCCTTACCAACAAATAGTGGGATTTACTGACACATAAATAACACCCAATAGCTGAAAGGGTAAGAATGTTCGGTGACGATTTTCGATCCTGGGACACACAGATTGGGAGTCGATTGTTCTAACCACCAGGCCAAATATTTGGACTGGTCTATCGCTACCTGTAGAACATTCATTTATCCATCTATACTTTCAACACATACATCCTTATTTATGACATGGGCTAAGCGCAATCTAGCGGTTAGCTTGATGATTAAGGAGATGTTGTTCTGTGGTTCGCGGCCCATTTCCGCCAAAAATAAAATGAAATAAATAAATCACGCTTTTCACTTTGGGTACATTGTATTAGAGACTGTCAAATTCCACTATTTGGTCTGATAAGAGCAGTTTAAGTGGTGGGTGGTGTTGGTTAACCTCAAAATTAGGAGAGGTAGAGCAGATAGCCCTCGTACAACTTTGTCCGAAATCTAAAAACAAACAAAACAAAGTTACGACACGTTTAACCACCCACCTTTACCTGTGATGCATTCACCCCTCAATCTCTACCTGTGACACATATATTCTACCTACTTATCTCTATCTATTACGCCTTACACCTTTAATCTCTACCTGTGACATATCCATTCCTATGTTATTTATTCAATCCTATTTACAACACATTCATCATCCATCTTTATTTATCACACATTCATCCTCCCATCTCTATCATTACACATCTACTCATTCATTTCTCAGTTTGTGACATTTTGCTGTACTATATTTGATAGTAACAAGTTCATTCATTCAACTTTACTTACCATACAGTTTATCATTATCTTCAGCACATCTAGCCATTTATCTAATACTATGACAATACTAATATTTATGTGAGACACATCTGCCCACTCGTATCTCCGTGTGATTCGTTTCCGCTCTCGTTCCTGACAATTTTAATAAACTATCAGCTCAGTGTATATCTTTATTTGAAAGTAAAGTCAAACCACATTTACTAGTACTGCCAAACAAGAAAGTTGGAAAACGACAATAATCTCAGATGTACCTTGTGACGCTACTGACATTGGTAAGACAAGTTTCCATGTACAGCAAAAGTTGTAGTTAGTTCAATGTTTTCAATTAATTTTCCATACTGTTCGTCCCACTGTAAAGAACATTTCATAAGTATTTTTCATTCATAACCTATGTATATATTCGAAAAAAAAACAACAACAACAACATTGCTACAGAACAGGTGTTTGGAAGTGCATTTATTTAATTGATTGCTTTATGGTTTCAAGCTACACTATATGAAATTGTTCAGTTTCATTTTCCAAGCGAAATTAACACCGCTACTCCAGAAATTGAACCTTTCACCATCATGTGCTCGTTTCCTCATAGATTTTCCTTTGAAGGAAATGTTAGCGCTATGAATTAGGCGCGTAAATATTCGTAGCCCTCAGGAACTAAACATAAAAACTATTTGATTTTCTCTACCTAAGCGCGACTATGAACCAGCTAGATGGCATACAATCATTTCTCCTGGTAAATAATCGCTGTGATGCTATGTACGTTATATACTTTTTATTGTGCAGCGTCAAAATTATATTATGCTAATCTATAGCTGGTATTTTATTACTAGTTTCTCGTCCTTCAGTTTTCTGCTCTGCATTCGCAGAATATCGTGGCAAAGTGACTCTTATCTCTCGAGAACGTTTTAATTATATGTTCTGTTTAGCAAGGTAGATTGTGTATGACATTATGTATATGTTTCTACGTATGATGAATATATTCTATACGTACTAAATCTTTAGGAGGGTGTGTATTTATCAGTAAATGGATACATTTTTTGCCATAAGTTTGTTCTTTTTTTTTCTACAATTACTACCTCTCTGTTACAAAAGCAATAAGATAACTCGAACACCCTCTGCTGATATTTAAACATCCACGAAGGATTTGTTGCATGCTGGTATATTTTTTATGAATCATATCGATTTATATTAAAAAGTACCATTATGAAAATATACCATTATCTTCACTATGATAATATCTTAGACGTATACCACTATATTCACCACTCGATAAACTACCATTATAAAAATACCCTTGACGTATACTATTATCTTCACCACCCTATAAACTACCATTATAAAAATACCTTTGACGTATACCATTATCTTCACCACCCTACAAACTACCATTATAAAAATATCCTTGACGTATACTATTATCTTCACCACCCTATAAACTACCTTTATAAAAATACTGTAGACATATACCATTATCTTCATCACCCAAAAACTGCCATTATAAAAATATCCTAGACGTATACCATTATCTTCACCACCCTATAAACTACCATTATAATATTATCCTAGACGTATACCATTATCTTCAAAACTCGATAAACTACCATTATAAAAACATTCTTGACGTATACCATTATCTTCACTACCCTATAAACTACCATTATATAAATAACCTTGACGTATACCATTATCTTCACTACCTTATAAACTACCATTATAGTAATATCCTTGAGTGTAACATTATCTTCACCACCCTATAAACTAATATTGGAAAAATCATCTACACCATCATGCTAACGTTTAATTTTTTTCCCGCCAAAATCAAAGTGTTTAATCCATTGTCAACCCTTCACTTCACTGACTTTGGTATCATTCCAACAAATACTTCTGGAAAAATAGAATGTTGTTCGTTTACAAACATGGACACTTGGGAAGACTAATACCCTTCCTTAGAGCAGTAGAGCGGTGATAATGTATTCATTAATTAAGAGTTAATTACTTATCGATAGTTAATAATATGTTAATTACGTCTAATGAGAAATTAGTGTGATTTTCACTAGACAAGGGAAAAAACATTTTGTTTGAATATATTAAACAACTGCTAAGACAACATGGTACATCGTCAATCAAAACTGAATAAATCGACTATACATATAATAATCAAATCACTGTTTGAATATCCGATTATCAATATTTGGCACTGTAGTTGATAGACAGCAAAAGGAGCCTTAGAATAAACGAGCTGACTACCAAATCTGAATAAAATATTGATGGAAAAGCCTTAGATGTTTAGTCGGATGAAAAACAAAACGTGCAATTAGATTAATAGCTGATTTAATTCCTACTGGCAGTTGCAATAAGAAATTGTTAAAATGAGTATCCTTTATCATTTGCTTCAGTGGAGCTATCTCTACATAAGTTATTTAAAATTGAACATGAAAAGTAGGAAATATTCCCTAATTAATCATCAGGAAGTTTTTTCCGAATACATTACTAAATAGATTGATTTACTTCACAAGTAGGTTTAAAGTATTATATTTTATAACTACATTATAAACCTTTGGATTATCCTGCTCAGGTGTGGGAAGAAAAAAATAGCCTTTTTTACTTACAAGTCAAGAGCCTATGTTTTTGAGTAAACTCTTTGGTATCATAATATTTTCTGGGATAAAAGCAAAATGTTGTGTAATTTCATTTCCGCATATGACACGACTAACTAAGACACAAAGGTCAAGTAAGTGAGTTCACTTGTTCTAGAGGTCTCCTCGCATTTGACACGACTAACTAAGACACAAAGGTCAAGTAAGTGAGTTCACTTCTTCTAGAGCTCTCCTCGCATTTGACACGACTAACTAAGACACAAAGGTCAAGTAAGTGAGTTCACTTCTTCTAGAGCTCTCCTCGCATTTGACACGACTAACTAAGACATAAAGGTCAAGTAAGTGAGTTCACTTCTTCTAGAGCTCTCCTCCTTCTTAGGTTTTAAACCAGTTTTCGAGAAGGCAGAACAATGAATATATCTTAACATCTTATTACCTTAAACATATAAGATACTAAGGAGTAAGCAAGAATTCTGTCGTCAATGTATTTTGTTTAACAACTTCAAAATACTCTGCAGTCCAGTAGCTCGGCGGTAAGTTTGTGGACTTATAACGCATAAAGTCGGGTTTAGATACCCGTATTGAGCACATCATAGATAGCCCCTTGTGTGTAGCTAGCTTTATGCATAACTACAAACCAAAAAAATTCTTGCAGACAGAATATACAATTTTTTTATATTAAAGTGTCACAACGTAACACATTAGTACCACGTTTTTTGGTTATAAAGGAGTATAACTCTATTCGACTTAATAAGCTTTTCTGTGTAAGATTAGGGAGGGAATTAAACGTTATTAAAATAACAGTAAGTGATGTAATAACACAAACAGTGACTAGAACAATTATGACTGACAACATTCCTAAAACACAGAAGTTGAAATTGTCAACCATCTGTTCACAAAACAATATTCTGTTTATTTTATCCATTTTATTAGTTAATTGAATGGGTTTGTTAATTTTTGATTCACTTTCTATAAAGGTATGTAATTTAATAACTTTTTATCAAACCCTTAAATATGTCTAATCAGAAGCTCTGGTACATCACTGTGGTACATCACTTACTTCAAGCCAAACGCGAATATAAAGTGTTTTAAAATGAAATTTATGATAACTCATTTTATATCCAAAGTACATTCCATACTCTTATATTGTTGTTGTTTATTCGGAATCCACTGTTGTTTAAAATGTTGGTTGTACAAGAGGAAGTGAAATGCTTTAAATGTCACCTAACGACACATAATTCAGTATGTTCACATGTTTTACACCAGACTGTTGTGACATATACTGAGGTCTATCACGCTGGAATGAATCTAGCGGCATCAATGGATTGTAATTCTAATAGGAAGTAACGTCGTCTTCCTCGTCTATATACATTATCCTGATTTTCTTGCAGCTCCG